TTGAAACAGAAAGCTTTGTTTCCACTCTTCCAGCATCAGAGAACTTTCCAAGCCTCTCCCTGGGAAACTGAAAAGGAGCAAGTTTATACCTGTGTTCCTTGCTGGAGGTGGAGCTTGCCAGGGCAGCACAACAATGAGGACTTTGGGTTGAAAGTTAAGGAGAACCATCAGGATTTTTTAAAACCTGTTTTCCCTTTGGGTAGGACTCAGGTGAGAAAAAAAAAAAAGTCTGAATTAAAGAGCAGGAGTCACTTTTGATGTCTGCTTTAAGGCCTTAAAAGAAGGAAATCAGGGAACGCGAGAAGATATCTGACGACCCAGCAAAAACTTTTTAGAAGTTTGAGATGGCATGGGGTTTATTCCTATCAAAATAAAAACTTGAGGAACAACACTCCCTCTATCAATAATAATAACCGGATACTTCTGTGGTGTTATCTTATAAAAATAACAATGACAACAAATCCTACCACTGTTTCCTGCTAGAGTTAAGGATGTGATCCATGTGGTTGAGAAGTCAAGGGCTTCACTTTGCTAAAGAACTAACGTATTAGCTAATTTCTATTTATTGCTTGATTCTTCATTTTCAATGAAAATATAGTAGAGCGCCCCCCCCACTATGCTTCGTTTTTGCTATTCTTATAATTTAAAAGATTAATGTGAATATTGCTGATTTTCCCCTCTAGATTTTTAAGAGACCATTAACTTTTCCATTAGGACACACTTGAGGTCTCTAGCTGATGGCACCTGGTGGGCTTCATAAACACAACCCCCTGCGGTAGGGCTTCCCTTACATTTTTATTCTTTAATTGGACACATGTATTTATATACATAAACATATATCGGGATTTTGAGATTTATCCTAATTCTAGACTTGTCTCCTCAGAATGAATTTTGCTGCTTTGTATTCCAGTTTCAAGAAGTGGCATTCTTGAAGCTCTGGGGAGCTTTCACAATGTGATGACATTAGGGTATTTTACAATAGAGTCTTTGTAATTCCATATAAATGTGACACACATACAAGAGAAGTGATTCTGACTGTTTTAGTCCTAATGAGAGGATGTAGCCATTACGGTAACATTTCCTCCTTAGTTAAAACAACCTTTATTTTTAAAAAGTACAGTGAAAACACGGGAGGTCAAAAAGATAGTCGCTTTGAACGAGTGAGAATTCCAGGATTTTTGAGAGTATAAACCTCTGGAAACGAAAAACCCAGCATCCAAAAAATAAGACACACCATAGCAATACTCCCTGGAACTTATATTTTGAAACTCTCAACATTTTCTTGGGAACAAAGGGCTATGTTGTTCTAATCCCAGGGCATGGGTGGATTAATGGGGAACAGAGAGATTAATTCACCCAGTGATGGGGCCAAAAAGCAAAATTTAGGTCTTTTTACACACTGCTGCGCCCTTTTCCTTAGATGCAAAATATTTAATTGTATGAAAATTTCACCACCTCAAAACAGGATCTGAATGTAGCCCCTCAAAGTACTGTCGATGAAGAGAGGATATGAGCCTGAGTTTATCCAGACTGCCACATGGAAAAGCCATCTGGGGGTATTTTGAAATAAACAGATGGAAAAGGAAGAGATCCTTTTGAATGTAGTGTTAAATTTACATTATCCTCCATGAACTTCCACGTAGCCCCCGTGTTTATATAATTCATCACTGTATCCTTAGACAATATAGATTAGGAAGCCCAATGAGCTCATGTTCTTCTTCTTCTTCTTCTTCTTTTTTTTTTTTTTTAACTCTAAACTCTCCTTGGGAGGGCGTATCTAGAGCAGGGTCTGTAAGACAGCTAGATGGATCAGTGAAGGCCAACCCAATCCATTTGTGCCTTCTCTGATAGTCTTGATTCTCTTGGGAAAAAAATTTATGCTTTCTTGATGTATTACTGACCAATCTGCAACCAGTTTCGGCCACATGGATCATCTGCACCTATGATTTATTTGTTTCTGCCTTTCTACTTTTGCATATGCCACTCATTTCATTGATAAGATCTTCCTTTCTTTCGCTAATTTACATCTCCATTGTCCCCTCTGCCACTAAACAACAAAATCAAAAGGCTTCCAGGGGCGCCTGGGTGGCTCAGTGGGTTGAGCGGCCCACTCTTGATTTCAACTCAGGTCATGATCTCAGGGTCTTGGGATCCAGCCCCATGTGGGGCTCCGTGCTTAGTGGGGGGTCTGCTTCTCCCTCTCCCTTGCCCTTTTCCCCAGCTCACACACTCGAGTGTACTCTCTCCCTCTCTCTCTCAAATAAACAAATAAATCTTAAAAAAAAAAAAAAAGTCTTCCAGGAATTATGCCCTTAAGTAACACATGGCATTCCACTCATCCATCTGCATCCCCTCTGTTCCTTTTACACGTTGATAGTCTGTGGTCATTTGTTCAACAAATGTTCAAATGTCTTCTCATGCATGTTCGCCGAGTATCGTCTTCAGCCCTGGCTGGCTACACATTAGAGTCACTCGGAGAGTTCATAAAAAATACTGACGCTTGGGTCTTCAGACCAAATAGTCAGAATCACGGAAGGGTGGGGTCAATAGTGTGTAGGTAAACTTTCTCCCCAGGAAAAAGAGGGTTCTGATTTGTAGTAGTTGTCAATTTCCATGCCTTAAAGGCTCACACCATAGTGAATTTTAAGCTACCCTACTTGACATCACCGAACATACAATTTGAAAGAGATGCTTACAAGTGGTTCACAAGGGCCGGCTCCTTACATGCTACTGGGCAGGGTTCAGGGGTAATATACAACATGTGATAAACACACATATACACACATATATATATTTCATATTGAGATATATATAATAACCACATAAATATATATGATGATATATATTACATATTATATATATATGTTTATAATGTCTAGGTTATTCTAATATGCAGTCAAGGTTAAGAACCTCAACTAGGAAAAAAAATTAAAAAAAAAAAGAACCTCAACTAGATCACACATTTCTCAGATGCAGTAACTATTTTTGTTTGCCTCAGCTTCCCTTACAACACCAAGAACAGAGACTGAATCAATGTCATTAGCGGACCACATAAGGCTCCACATGGGGAGCCCCATGTGGGACTTGATCCTGGGTCTCCAGGATCACACCCAGGGCTGAAGGCAGACGCTCAACTGCTTAGCCACACCCAGATGTCCTGGCACTGACTTTTAAATTTACTTTCTCTTGATGTTCTTACTGATGAAAGATGAGAGGCTAAATACATTTGGAATCACCTAGTTAAAATATCATTTTTATTTATATTTTGTTTTGTTTAAATATTGTCTACAACCAGTCAAACACTGGGCATTTTTTTTAGTACTCCTTATCACTCTTGGCTTTTAGGAATGGGGGCAGCCATGAGAATTTTTTTTTCACATTAACTCTTTTATTTTACTTAAAACACACATGTAATTATTCAGACACATTTCCCCTATATGCTTGCATGCGTTTATAAGCTTCAATTCCCTTTTAAGCAGCATTCGTAAAGCATAGTAGACACATAGGATTGCTTGGATGGTCTTCCCCAGGCAAGCCACCACTGTCCCAAGAGAACAGGGTGGAAAGTACACTTTGTAGAGACCTCTAGGGAAAAGATCTCATCGATATTTTAAATTATTTGAAAGAGATCTACTACAACGAACAGAACTCTGTAACCCATGACACTGGGGAACAACTTACTTCAGCAGGTTCTGCGTGAAATACTCAGATCTCCTGGGCATATATTTTTTACAATTTATTTATTTATTTTAGGGGGGAGGGGCAGAGGGAGAGAGAATCTCAAGCAGACTCTGTACTGAGTGCGGAGCCCAACACAGGGCTCGATCCCATGACCCTGAGATCACTACCCACGTGGAAACTAAGAGTCAGACCCTCAACTGACTGCCCCACCCAGGAACCCCCTCGTGGGCATCTTTTTAAACCCAGAAGGGGAGAAGAGTGGGACATTCTTATATTTTAATATCAGCTCACATACTTGGCAATCATGGTTAATTTATTCTTCAGATTTTTTTCCTTCAAGATGTATTTCCTCAATAAATATGATTCTTATGTTTTTATGTATAGACTACATTTAGGACAAGGCACATCAGGCATAAAGAATAGAGAAGTAGGGGATCCCTGGGTGGCTCAGCAGTTTAACGCCTTCCTTTGGCCCAGGGCGTGATCCTGGAGTCCCGGGATCGAGTCCCGAGTCCCACATCGGGCTCCCTGAATGGAGCCTGCTTCTCCGTCTGCCTCTCTCTCTCTCTCTCTCTCTCTCTCTCTGTCTCTGATGAATAAATAAATAAAATCTTTAAAAAAAAAGAATAAGAGAAGTAAAACTGGTTCCTAATTTTGATGCTGCCAAGACTTCAGAAAATGTGATTCAAGCCAATGAGGGAGGACTTGAGGATTCATCAATCTGCAAAATTGGTATAACTTAATTTCCCAGTTCCTTGGCCTTCTTTAGGATTATCAAAAGTCATGGAATAATGAACAGAATACGTCTCCTGTCATGAATCACAATATATTTTTCAGCTAGTAAGTCCTGTTTCAAGTCAGTGTAATATGGATCGATAAAAGGAAAGAACAAAATTTGATGTTTAAGAGTTAACAAAACACATGATAAAATTACTAAATGTTTGTTTTATATGAGGCACTGAAATAAAGATTTTACTTTTCAAAGTATTTATATTTGCTTTGTACACTTCAAGCTTTGGTATTCTAGTTTTTTTTTTTTTTAAGATTTTTATTTTTAAGTAATCTCTACAACCAACATGGGTACTGACTGAGCCAGCCAGGTGCCCCGCCCCCCGGGTTTTTAGTGACACAATCTATGTATTCTTGGCTTTGTCTAAAGGACACAACAAATGTGTAAGAATACTGTGATACTGACATAACCAAAAGTAGAAAAATACTAAATAAAAATTTAATTTGGGGTCGTATCTTTTTTACTCTACTAAAAAGTAGTAGTAAAATATTAATTGGGAGGAAAAAAATCATAATGATCAATCTCTTACCTGAGCAGGCTTCTTCTGAACGACTTGTTGTGGCTGAGAAAGAAACAAACAAAAAGGAACCGTTATATTTTAAAAGGAAATATACATAATAAAAATAACTAAGTATGTATGTTTTAGATATACACGCTTGTCTGCAAAGTAAAGATAAAAAATTGGTTCGAAAATCAGATTCACTTGAGGAGTGGAAGGGTCTAATTTGTTAGCATTTTGTTTAAAAACACTCAGCTTTCTTGAGACACAATTTACCTACCATAAAATTCGCCCATAAGGTGTGTAATTCAAAGTTTCTTTAGTGTCTTCAGAGAGTTCTACAATCACCATCAAGATCTAGTTTTATTTTATTTTATTTTTTTAAAAGATTTTATTTATTTATTCATGAGAGACACACACACACACAGAGAGAGAGAGGCAGAGACACAGACAGAGGGAGAAGCAGGCTCCATGCAGGGAGCCCGATGTGGGACTCGATCCCGGGACTCCAGGATCACGTCCTGGGCCAAAGGCAGGTGTTAAATCCCTGAACCACCCAGGGATCCCCAAGATCCAGTTTTAGAACATTTTCACCTCCTCTCAAAAAAATACCCCATACCCATTATCAACTGCTCCCTACTCCCTCCCGCCGTCCTGGTAACTCTCCTATCCCTAATCAACCTCTCAGCTTTCTGTCTCCACAAACTGGCCTATTCTGGAAACTTTAGGTAAATGGAATTATACAGTATATGGTCTTTTGTGTCTGGCTTCTTTTACTCAGCATCATGTTTTCCAGGGTCATCCGTGTGGTAGCACCCAACGGTACTTCATCCCTCTTTACAACTGAGTAACATTCCATCGTATGGACATACCACATTTTGTTTATCACCCTTCAGGGGATGGACATTTGGGTTGTCTCCACCATTTGGCTATCACGAACAATGCGACGGACATTCATACTTAAGTTTTAATGGAGACATGTTTTCATTTTGCTTGGGTAGATAGCTTGGAGTGAAATTTCTGGGTCATACAGGCAAACTCTATGTTGACAACTTCATGAGGAGCCACCAGACAGTTTTTCAAAGCAGCTGCACCATTTTGCATTCCCACCAGCAATGGGTGATGGTCCCAATTTCTTCACATACTTGTCAACATTTGCTATTGCTTGTCTTTTTAATTATAAACATCCTACTGGGTGTGAAGTTCAATGTCACTGTGGTTTTGATTTGATTGTCCCTAATGACAAATGATGTTGAACATCTTTTCATGGGCTTTTTGGCAATTTGTAGACCATCTGTAGAGAAATACTACTCAAATCTCTTGCCCACGCCAAAGTTTGTCTTTTCATTATTGAGTTGTAAGAGCTCTTTACATGTTCTGGATATGAGGGTCATCAGAATATGATTTGCAAATGTCTTCTCCCATTCTGTGGTTTGTTCACTTTCCTGATGGTTTCATTTGCAGACTAATTTGTTATATTTATATCTATAGCTCCTAAATTATGTATGTAGAGCAGAATTTGTTTTTGAGTAAAACATCTGAGGGAAGCTTTTTTTCTACCCAGACTAAATTAATTTTCCAATAATTAGAATATTTGAAAATATCTTTCAAATAAGTTATTCTTTCTTGGTAAAAGTAGCATCTGAATCCTAAGCTTTTTGATTGATTACTCCCAGTACTCACTCTCATGTCTGAATAGAAGCCTTACTTCTTCTATCTACACATCACTAGGATTTACAGACAACACTGAGCCACTCGGATGTGGACAGGGACATGCTTTTGTGGCATGAGTGAAAAAATGAAATAAAATCGCTACCGTTCTCCCGAATAACAGAAGTTAGGGCAAATTCACTAAAACAGTGGGGTGCAGAGCTCGCATTCGTTTTCCTTCCTCTCTAATTTCTGTGATGGTGTGATTGTCCTGTTGCTGGTGTACTAATAGATATGTTAGATGAAAAATCATCAGAGCTCTTTTTTTTTTTAGAAGAACAAGATAAACATTTTTTTTAAAATGGCAAAATACTTTGGCTCACCTAAAAGAAAAAAGTTCTCCCCCTCGACCTTCAATCGCAGGAGACATGACATCCTAAAAGCCCTGATCTCAAGAGGATACTTTCTCCAGGTGGAACTCACCCCAGGATGATTAGGACCTCTTAACTCTTGGGGTTCAAAGGGGTGTGCTAAGAGAGCATGCATCTCAAGAGTCCTCTGCAAGGACAGACCACTTTCTTCCTTCTGTTTCTTCCTGCCGGTTACACCTGTAACCGTGTTGACTCCCAAACCGTTTCCAATCCGCACACATTCTTGCAGGCTGACTGGTTTCGGCTGCTCAGAAGTTCCCCTCCTCTTTTGGCTGAGGATCCCGCATTCATGTGACTCCTGCACACTGCGGGGCTCAATGAAATCCTCTGAAAGGGTTGCCAGCTCACCCGATTTTCCATGAATTAGGTCCTGACACTTCAATGAGGGGAAAGACAATGTCTGAACCTCTGCCAGCCCTGGCTCCCGGCCTAGTCCATGTCACAGAACTTCTACCAGCTGCCCTTCCACACAGCACTTCATACTTTTCAGGCCACCAAACAAACAGACCCTTGAATGCTCTCAATGCTGCTTGGGGTGACGGCTGCCAGGAAGTTTCCCCGGCCTCTGGCACCCGAGGGCTCCAGGCGGTGCGAGAAAGTTTTCTGTTGTTGTTATTTTGTTTTGTTTTTATTTTTATGAATGGCTCTGGTAGGAAATGCAGACGGAAGCATAATACTGCAGCCATTCATAAAAAAGGGAAAGGAAACAAACTCTAGTCTGGAAATCTTCTGGGACACCAAACCGACTGCAAGGTTATCTTCCTCGAGGCATCTCCTGGCTTAGGACTAAGGGCTGATACCTTGAAACCAGTTGCCCCTTGGGATTCCTTTTTTTTAATTATTTTTTTAAATTTTTAAAAATTTATTTATTTATAGAGGGAGAAGCAGGCTCCATGCACCGGGAGCCGACGTGGAATTCGATCCCGGGTCTCCAGGATCACGCCCTGAGCCAAAGGCAGGCGCCAAACCGCTGCACCACCCAGGGATCCCTACCCCTTGGGATTCCTGTCATCAAAATACGTGGTTGGCCACTACATCTCTAGAACAAGAGCATATGAATCTAGAACAACTATGCATAAGAATCATCAAGTGTGCTTGGCAGTGTATTTTCCTGCACCTGAATACGTGAATACTTTACACACGCATTTCCCATACAGAAGCTAAAATCCTTTCTATTTTTTTTTAAGATTTTATTTATCTATTCATGAGAGACACACACAGAGAGAGGCAGAGACACAGGCAGAGGGAGAACCAGGTTCCGTGTGGGGAGCTTGATGCGGGACTCGATCCCAGGACCCCAGGATCAGGCCCTGAGCCAAAGGCAGATGCTCAACCGCTGAGGCACTCAGGTGTCCCTCCTTTCTATTTTTTTTAACAGCTGCCCCTTGGTGACCAGGAGGATCCAGGCCTTATTATTTCCATTTTTCCCCCCACAGGGAAACTAAGGCATAGGGAATCAAATTAACTTCCCCTAAGATCATTTTCTAATTCTAAAACAAGCTGAGTCTTCTATTTCTTTTAATCCCCTGTATAAGGCTCTGAGGAAACCTGTTTCCTTCCTTCACCATTCAAAAAAGGTCAAATTCAAAGCCAGGTCCAATTCAGGAGGAGAGTGGCCTTGACTTCCACCTCCAGCTTCACTTTCTTCTTTGGGATCTCTCAGGACTCCCCACTGCCACCTCGGCCAGAAGGAGCCCATGGCTTCCTCAGCAGGGCCCAGCTCGGGTTTAGGAGGCCGCAGATGACAGGTGAATGCCAGAGGACAGCAGTTAGGCCCCCCCGCCCCAGGTCCAGCTGATCCCCTCCCTCCCACTTGGAGAGTCTTCCCTCATTGCCAACCATGGAGGGTAAGAAGTCCCCTTTAAAGGCATGGATTTCATGATGACTGTTCAATTGAACAAGTCGCGAAGTCCTCTAACTTGCTTATTTAGATGATTCTGAGGACTCTGTTTCTAATAAGTCTGCGCACATGGTGAGTTCCTACACTTTAGGGACCTTGTTGGCTTGGCATGCAAAATCTTAGAGCACTGAAATTTTGAGATCCTTATGTTAAGAGAGAGTTCAACTTTTCAGAAAGCTTGTCATGCAAATCTCTCATTCAGCTGTAGCATTTAAACATCTCCAACGCAGTAGGTAAAAGCAAGCTTTCCAGCCATCAACAACAAAGGACTCTGAAGATCAAGTGCTTTGGGTTAATACAATGTTAAAATAAGACAGTGAGAGCTAAAAAGACCCCATTGATAGAACATATCACAGAAAGACGCAGAAAAGCCCTTTCTAACCACATGGACTTCAAAGTGTGGTTCTCTGCGGGCTCCTCCTTATATTGGACTAACTCCGCCAAATTCAAAATACAATCTTTATCCGAATAAATATGGTTAAAGTTTGTACATAGCATAGGATACAGCATGCTAAGAAAGTGCAAGGGATACAAAAGAGAAAAGCAACATGCTTCAAGATTTCTGAGATTGTACAGTGAACCAGTATTTTTCCAAATAAGAGGAAAACAGTTATCAAATGTATAACGTCCGCAGAGTATTTTGGTTTTCAAGATTTTTCAGAATGGCACTCGTGTAGGAAACGGCCTGCTGCACCACCTATTTCAGAATAATTAAGGGGTTCCCCAGCCCTCCTGAGAATCCAATCTATGGTTCCAGGGAGTCTAGGTATTTAAAGGGGATACTTAGACAGCTAAGCCACCCTTCTGGTAGGTATTGAAAGAAAATCCTTCATAACAAAGGGCCGAGACATTAGTAGCTCATTTTTAGTACTACGCTATACAGTAAATGAAATGAGGCTGGAATCGGGCTTACTAACTTAATTTTTTAAAAAATGAGGTACAATGTGCCATAAAGTAAGGATGATCCTTATGTAAAGAGTCTTAAGTTGACCTCTGAAAGAAAATACCCCTTCATTCAGATCTCTGTGGAGATGGGGTCTTTTGGTTTCAGGTAAGCAGCAGATTTTTAATTTAATTACATC